TGCTGTGTATATGTAAAGTATTGCTATATACTAGTCCTAGTGCTTAGTAATTTCCACGTTAAGATTAAAAATACTTTCCTTCGTCTTAAAAACCGCAAATTCTATTTGTGTAATCTTTGAAACCTCCTAAATAAATTTCAAACATTTTTTTTCCAGTAAAACTTTATATTTTATCTGTTATTTTCTCTACCTTAACTTTATACAAGGCTGGTCAATTTGACCGACCTTGTAACCACCAAAAATAGAAAAATTGAAATAAATCTAAAATACACTTTTTTCTAGAATGATTTCAAATTGTAATATGAAACTATATTTGTTTATCCTAAACAGCTTTAAACTCATATCAGTATACATCTATTTATACTTAAATGTTATTGTTTTATTGCCATTTAAACCCTGTCTAACTACTATTTGGGCCATTATAAGCTGCTATGCTATCAAATTACATTATGCACGAGTTGCTTGTGAGTGCATCTAGTGAGAAAATTTGATTGTATTATTATTACTTATTTATTTCACCAAATCTAACCATAACTAACAAAAAGTTGACTGTTTTTCTATTTTAATTTCTTTTTAGTATTTACCTAAGTCTTCTTATATTTTGCTGTCCACTGTCGATGACACTTAACCCTAAATACGTATGTATCTATACTATAACTTGTAACTGACCTCATAAACCACCAAAAGAAGATTAGGAAATAATTCTAAATTACCCTTTTTTCTCACTGGAATGACTGCAGATTGTAATGGTAAAACACAATTGTTTATCCTAATTAGCTTAAAGCTGATAATAGTATGCATCTATTTCTACTTAGTCCCCTTTCACTGCAGCTGGGATATATATTTCCCAGTGCTCTCAAAATTGCAACGTATGGGAGTAAAATGAGTTGGAAAGTATATATTGGCACCCCACTAATGTTGATATATGGTTTCCACTCAGCCCTTCAGTAACCAACAAAGATGCCTAAGCAGAATGTACGACAACTGCTCTAATTTATTTATCACTCTTCCAAGAAGTACGAAATTTAACGTAAATTACTTGTTACAATATCATCATTGCTCAGGCAAAGCATAATTTTCATAGCTTTCAATCTTATTTGGTTACAGAGCCTTGAAATAGACAGTCAGACCCCTCTTGCCAAGCCCACAGGTCCCATCCTCTCTTGAAATTGCCAATAGTTCTCTCTGTTGTTCAATACTATATTACTTATATCCAATGGAAAGCCATCGTTTTCCTTTATCAAATGATGGAAACATCAACAAACTTATGAAAAACTATGACAGTTATGGGACATTCATTGCTTTTTGCATGTTATTATTCTGTGTGTTTTTTTGAGCATTATTTAATTTAAATGAAAAAATTATTAAGTGTAGTACTACTATTAGTATATATATACACATACATACATACATACATACATACAAAATAGCAAATAAAATATAGTTTTTCTAAGAAATAATAAAAGATATTGAATATTTATGTAGGTCTTTTGGATTACACAAAAGAAATTTGAAAATTTTCAGATTAAGAAAACTATTTCTAATCTTAATGTGAAAATCACTTTGATTATAATCATATGGTGTCAGAGTGTTGATTGCTCCAAGTGCAAAGTTTCAGAAAAAAAATATTAAAAATTCTCATTTTTTGTCGACAAAAAGAGTTTACTGAAAGCTTGTCAAGTTTCATGAAAATACATTAAGTACTTTCAGAGTCGTAATATGTATACCACCATGTAACCATTGTGGTTAAGAGGTTGTGTGAGATAAATTAGCCAGTTGCAATAGGATTAATGGGTTCCCAGAGTTTAAATTAGCAAGTAAAAAACAGTTTCAGTTTGTTTTTTCATATTTGTAAATGTAATTATTATTACAAACACAAATTTAACACTTCCAAAAACTTCTCGAAAACATGACAGTTGAAAAGCTATTTCAACTAAGGGCATGTACCCCTGGTTATTTATTATTTTATTTTTATGTAGTGTGTATGGCACTTTTATAAGTAATTTTAAAGTAAGTAGCATTTACCAAAGGCTATAAAAGGTAGTTTGAAATCTTGTTACACGTACACAAATACCTAAATACACTGACTACTGCTATTCAGCCATTGTAAGAGAAATTTAAGTTACATATGAATATTGCAATAAGTATGTCATGTACAAAATAATAAAGACAAGAATATAAAATTTGCTGAATAATTTATACCTACCTGCAACTGCTGGTCCTGCACTACAACTTGCTCATCGTCACTATCCGAACTCTCGCTCCAATCCACACAAGAGGCAACTCTATTCATCCAGGATCTCTCCATACTGTCTCCCACGGTCACACTCTAAAATTCACAAATACACATATATTGGATATGGCATAATATTTCCAAACAACTGAATAAACATCCTTATACCATAATGTTCTCATAACAACCAAGTATAGTAAAGGTGTACTATAATGTTCTAACAACCAAGTATAGTAAAGGTGTACCATAACGTTCCCTAAACAACCAAGTATGGTGAAGGTGTACCATAATGTTCCCTAAACAACCAAGTATAGTAAAGGTGTACCATAATGTTCCCTAAACAACCAAGTATATTGAAGGTGTACCATAACGTTCCCTAAACAACCAAGTATATTGAAGGTGTACCATAACGTTCCCTAAACAACCAAGTATATTGAAGGTGTACCATAACGTTCCCTAAACAACCAAGTATAGTAAAGGTGTACCATAATGTTCTAACAATCAAGTATAGTAAAGGTGTACCATAACGTTCCCTAAACAACCAAGTATAGTGAAGGTGTACCATAACGTTCCCTAAACAACCAAGTATAGTAAAGGTGTACCATAACGTTCCCTAAACAACCAAGTATAGTGAAGGTGTACCATAATGTTCCCTAAACAACCAAGTATAGTAAAGGTGTACCATAATGTTCCCTAAACAACCAAGTATAGTGAAGGTGTACCATAATGTTCTCTAAACAACCAAGTATAGTGAAGGTGTACCATAATGTTCTCTAAACAACCAAGTATAGTGAAGGTGTACCATAATGTTCTCTAAACAACCAAGTATAGTAAAGGTGTACCATAATTTTCTAACAACCAAAAATACACCATATTAAAAGAACTGTCTTAAATAATCATGCATACAAGGCAGCAAGGCCTACAGAAAGCTTCTCTCAATTCTCCATACAAGGAGTGAAGTATGCAGGAAGATCCTGTCATATTTTGTCTCAATCTAAGCACCAGTTGAGAAATAATAAAATTCCAAAGTGAAGATTTTTAATTAAAGTAGTGTCAGAAAGATGTGTGTCCACACCCACATGATGCCAACAAGATAGCACACTCAAAAAAAAAGATAATTGCCATTTCCCAATACTTTTAAATGAAAAAAAAAGTGTATTTGAAAATAAAGTGCTAAAACTATCGGAGCTGACGGAGACTAATGTGCATCATATGATCGAACTACGAATTCTACCAACTTTTGCTGCACGTCTGTTAACATTTTTTGCTATTGTCATTGTTTGCCAAAAAAAAAATCACAACATGTAATTATTTATTTTTCTCTTGAGATCCATGACCCCCCCACCCCAACAACAACAACAAAAAATTTATTTTACAAATAGAATTCACAAATAAATTGGATCTATGTAGACAAGTGGAATAGTGGGAAGGTTACAGTGGTGGTGTGTGTGTGTGTGCGTGTATAAATACACACACACACAGATATTACTATCAGATATTAGGAAAAAAAGTTCAGAAAGTCAGGGAATTTTATACAAACTACTTACATTTGTTTGACACAATAGCTTACTGGTCACTAGCTGATCAATAGTCTCATTTATTGCAGTGATGAGGCTGCCACAGGGCTACAAAAATAAAACAAAACAGTTAAACAGCATTAAATGTTTTACATAATTGACATATCAACATTTAAATTTTTCATCTGATAGAAATAAATAAAAAACCAAAATAAAATGTCATACTTTCAATTTTTTGTTAAAATTAATTTACTGCCCTATATATAACTTTTTATAATTTTATGTTTAATGTGAGTGTTACTGCTTTGTAAATAGTATAGTTTTTAGTTTTTTTTAGTGACATTGTAATTTTATGTATGGCTAGTTTGCAAGTTTTTTTATGTATTTCTCCTGCTTCAATTCTTGTTCTGAATAGACTCCAACACACTACAAAAACATTACGACAGAAGCAGTATTTTTAATTTCTAGCTCTAGAATTATTTACTGAATAGATCAGCTATTATAGATCAGCTTTAGCAATATATTGTATAAATGTTTGAAAAAAATCCAAGTTTAGTAAAAATGATTTCTGGATTTAAAACTTAAATTATTGATAGAATTAATGCATTTATAACTTTATCATAAAACCTCGTTACTGAAATACTGGTCTTGATCTTAAAGAGTCAGTTTCATTAAAAGTAACTTTAGTGGACACTTTACCAGTTTGATATTAAAAAATAAATCATGCTTCTTCAAAATTAGTAGTTGTGTTAATATACAGAAGTTGGCATTTTGTCACATATTTAACAGTCTAAATTAAGGAAAAACCAGAAACTTACAGGAGTGAATATAAATTCATACTGTAAAACATCACAGAGCATTAAAGCTTTGTTGACAAGTTGCTGTCTAGACAGAAACAACTTGCTATCACAACCGCACCAGGAATCGAGATTTTTGTCCAAGATGGCAAACAAGGCATTTGCTGGCAAATATAATAAAGTTTTAGAAACGTTAAATAATTCTCAAAAAATTACAGAAAAAGGGAGAATTATTTTAATAACCTGCAAGATAAAAAATAACAGTTCAGAAACCAATCTTCATCAGTTCATTAACATATGAATTAAAGCTTTAAATATGTTTTCCTTCACTTAAGGCTTTAAAAAAATAGATTTATTTTTTCATATTCGAATATCTCTCAAGTTCCATTCATCTATTAATTTTGAAGCAAATAAACGTTTGACTAGATAACTTTTCACTAAATTTTTTATTATTTTACTTTAAAGAAATATTGCATTAGAGTAAAAAAAATATGTAAGTGTAGAAAATCCTTTACATTTTTTGTCAACCATAAAAATTTTTAAGCCGATTAGAAGTTGAGTTTGTTTTATTAATGACTGGATGTATGTGAACAGGATACATACTTTAGTTATTGGCTAAGTTGACTGTTTTGATGAACACTGATTAATATACTTTAGTACCCGATTAGAAGTTGAGTTTGTTTTATTAATGACTGGATGTACATGAACACTGATCAGTAGTTGACTGTTTTGTTATTGGCTGGATACATACTTTAGTATGTGAACACTGATTAGAAGTTGACTGTTTTGTTAATGACTGGATACATACTTTAGTATGTGAACAGGATACATACTTTAAAGCCAATAACAAAACAGTCAACTTCTAATCAGTGTTCATGTACTAAAGTATATATCCAGTCATTAATAAAACAAACTCAACTTCTTATCGGTGTTCACATACTAAAGTATGTATCCAGTCAATAACAAAACAGTCAACTTCTAATCAGTGTTCATGTACTAAAGTATGTATCTAGTCATTAACAAAACAATCTCAACTTCTTACATCTATAAAATAAACAAAAAAAACCACACCAGTTTATCAGTTGCGCTAGTGTTTGAAATGTTATTGTGAATATCACACTTAGGTATGTACAGTATCAACCCACAGGTTTTGATAAGTTCTTATTAATTTATAACAAGAACCAAAATGATAATACAACAACAGCAAGATATAATAACTTATTAAAATGTAAACACCCACATACCCTTTTCTCACTCTCATCACGAAATATGGTTATGCCGTTTCACTAATAACAAAATTTTGTTTTTAATCTTGAGATGCTTTTTTAAACTAATATGAGGAACAAGATAAGAAAATGGGAATTTACATACCAACAACACTATCTAGTAAAAACACAGACACAACAGCGTTAGCATAGTACTGAAGTTCTAGGACATGCGGAAGTCGAATTACAGGTTTGTAGAAAACAATCTTTACGTTACTGTTCTCCTTTTCTGATGACCATGCCATCTCAATTGTTTCTGTGGATACAAGATCCTTGGTCAGAAGACTAGAAGCATGGCTGATGACATGATAATAATCACCAGTGAAACCAACATCTCGCTTCCGGTTAATAATTTCAGTTCGTAACCAAGTTAAGCTCTGACACAAGTTTTGGAATGTTGCACCCTGAGAAGATGTAGAACACAGATAACTGTCAATCTAGTGCCTATTCACCCTTGAAAATTTAAGACAAGTATTTACATACCATTGTGTGTGTGTGTAAAATTAAAGCACAATTGAAATTACAACATATCTCATGTTAACAACATAACTTGAAAGTTTCTTATACTAGATATACCTGTTGAAATCAGTTTAACTGAAAGTACTATTTGATGGAATATCCTCTAATACTAGCATTACCTAAAAATCTACCTTAGTCAACAACTGAAGTGTGTAGCAAGCATGAACATCATATTTTTTAAACAAACTATACCACTTTAAATTTACAAAAATGATCAAAACACCACAAGAGTATAAATGAATCGTAACCTGTAAATGAATAAATAGATTAATTTATCAACAAGGAAGAGGAGACAAAAATCTTTTTAAATTTCATAAATTGACTGGAAAATTATTATTTTTGACTCTACTGGCTGTAAAAAAACTTTAGATGATGAAAATAAATAAATAAATTACAATCATATTTTACTCTGGTGCTGTATAAAAGAATGAATATGTTATATTAAAACTATTTTTGAGCCTCACTTCAGCAATATAGTCAATGTAGATACATGTGATTCTGCTCTTTCAACATAGTTTACACTGCAAAAGGCTGTCATGCCCAAAGCACACCACTCCTCTCTGCATGGTTTCCATAATGCATACAGTTTATTAGGAAGGCTGTTTTACAGAGCTTTTTTCAACAGTTTGATCACATAAATCCATAAGTGACTTGTCTGGTATGTCTTCATATAGTATGATATGAGTGCCTGTTTCATTTTTTTAGCTGCTTGAGGTATGCAAAGTGTGAATGGGAGGTATGACTAGAAGTCTCATCTTAGTAAACCATACTCTGTTGGCCTCATTTTCAAGTGGAGATTTTCCAAGATTATGTTGCATACTGTTGCCTGAGATATGTAGATGATTTTTGCTACTGACCATTGGCTTCATGGAACTTCAACTGTTACAAGACATTGCACCTTGCTTATCATAGGTATCTTTCTAGGTGGTCCTGGTGTCCCAAGTTGATCCATAACCCTTTGTTTTCCAATGCCAACAAGTACCAGAGATATATTTATCTTCAAATTTCTAAATCCCCAATCTGAACACATCTTTATGATAAAAGTTTATGAATATTTTGTATCAGAAATGTCTCTTACATACCTTTCCCAAACATTATTAATTTTAGGTGGTATCACACTATCTACATAATGCCAAACAATGTCAAAATGCAGATCTCATACATGCATTCTATCATGAATTTACATTACCTGCTAATAAAGACATTACATATAAACCCACATCTATTATTATATTAGTACATCTAGTCTAGAACTTAATACAAACACAGAATATCCTAAATTTTACCCCTAACATATGTTGATTCACGAATCTTTAACATATAAACTGAATTATGCTATAAATTCCCATTCTATTCATTGTTTATCCTGAAATATCAAAATTAATATAAACTACTACAACACTAAAAACAAAAATTCTCACTTGAAAGGTAAATACAGATTTGTTAGATTTTATGAATTCCACTCCAACTGTAAATGTATTTAATTTTCTATTTAAATGGAGTTAAACAGAATTATAACACTATAAGCTGAAACTGTAACCAAGGGAATGCATCTTACCTTCCGATGTTTTGTAAGGTAAAGGAAAGCCATTACATTTGTACTCATCAAAGCTGTGGTATGAGCCGCATCTAGAGATGACAAACAAAAATTATTCTATTTACTTGTTTTACTGTTTCTTACTTTTATAAGATGAATGTTAACCAATAAAGTATTAACTTGCAAAGCAATGTAAAGCATGAAAGAATGTGAAAATATATAGACATAGTAAAAATTGCTGTTAAGTAAAAAAAAGAACTATGTGGTCAACATTTTTTTAAGCCAAAGTTCAGTGGGTCACAATGTTGACCAGGTAATTCTTTTTTTTTTCCTTTTCAAATATCAATTTTCATAGAAAGTAAAATTAAAATAACCATAAAATGAAAAACAAAATTCGTAAGACTCGTTTTCACCAATCACAAAAAGAAAAATCGCTTTAGATAAAATCAGTTAAAAATGGTCCATCACAAATAAGTAAAAAACTTCATTATAAAACAAGATATACACATTTTTTGTTGAAGATTAACATTTCAGCTTTACTAAAGAAACAGATTTCATCTGTAAACTATCTGATGTAACAATTTGACTGTACCTTAAGTACCTAGCTTATAAGTTTTGAATCAACTTTCTTCCACACAGTAGATGAAATATTTGTATATCTCAAACTTTTTGGCTTAAAAACATGAGAAAAAGAAACTACTGTGGTATGGCCACACTTGTAAAGTTCTGGTTGTTAACATCTTGTGATAGTTTATATGCCTAAATATTAATTGTGACATTTCAAAGTTCTCACATTCTTTATGCACACAAATTTTCTATTTAGTTACCAAAAGATTCTTCTATTAAAAGAAAACTCATCTAGTGACAAATTTTCCACTTGAAAACAAATGGAAGCTAAATTAATAACAGAATTAAGAAAACACACATTTTTACCCCAATAAATGAGAAATAAAACTTAGATAAAACTTTCCATATACTATATGTTCAGATAAAGCTTTTATAACATGGCGAGAATCTTCTACTACAATGTCTGTTCCATACAGAGAACCACTTGTTGGGGTGGAACGAAGTGGACGAGGCACAGATATCAGAGATTGAGGAGGGACACTCATGTGGAATAGCTTTGATGAGTCAAGGAATTCCTATTCAAAAGAAACATATTAATGTTTTTACTTTCTATTATGAGAAAGAAAGCAGAAAGAACAAATGAAGACACGAGAAAACAATCAATAACAAGGTTTCTTCAACGGGCAAAGAACAGTATATTCTTTATTGGTAAGTTTACACAATACTCAGGATAAATGCTGTACATCTACGTATACATCACTAATCATCCTTGTGTATATGAAAAATAACTATCCATCCATTTGTTGATGTATAAAATACCCATCTGATATTTTACAATGATAGAACAATAATCTTTACTCTTTAAAATATTCAAATTTAGAATGGTCTGTAGCATTATTTATATTACTAATAATTATTTACAATATGAACTTACTCTAGGATCCTATTAAGAAATTTCCAAACACATTTGAGCTATTATTGAATAATTACATATTAGTTAGGTTTAGGAGACAAAAGTGTAATACTTAACTTTCTCGACCTGACAAGAAGAAATTGTAAGTTAATAATCTAATAATAATTGTGAATAACTTTAAAAAATATATATAAAGACATGTAAGGAAAACCTGATATCTTAATATCATTAAATAAGTAATTGAATTTGAGCTATTATTGAGCAATTACATATTAGTTAGGCTTAGGAGACAAAAGCGTAATACTTAACATTCTAGACCTGACAAGAAGAAATCGAAAGTTTATAATCTAATAATAATTGTGAATAACTTTAAAGAAATATATAAAGACATGTAAGGAAATCTTGATATTTTAATTTCATTAAATAAGTAATTGAAAATGACAAAAGTATTGAAACTTCTTACTTAAAAAAAAACCCGACTCCAAATAATTATTTTTATTCTTCTTCTTCAGGCATAAAGATTAATACAAGATTTCTTTGTTATTTCTATAATACCTAACCACTTATCTCTAGTTTCTTTTAATACTGTGAATCACATCTACTAATTTAAAGGTTTTGAACTATTTGAAGCTCTGGCCAAATTTTTAACTATCTTAAATTGCATATATCTATAGATTTTTCAGTTTATCTAACCTCACAATATGCCTCATCCTGAAAAGAAGCACATATTTCAGAGAATTATGTAGAACAGCTGACAAACAATACCTGTTTTCATCCTAACAGTTTCTTCACACAAAGAAACAACTAAAAATTTTCATCAAATCTATTTCTTTCAGCAGTCAACTTAAAAAAGCCACAACTATTCAATTTAATCATAACTGAATTTACATAAATGTAAGCAATCATGTTACAGTTGTAATCAAAACTAAGCCTATACATATCTTAAAATAAGGCTTCCTCTGTGCTTGCTTATTGTTAAGTGCAGAGATACACAATGGACTATCTGTGCTGTGCCAACTGTGAGTATTGAAACCCAATTTTTAGCATTACAAGCCCTTGGACTTTCTACTGAGCCACCAGGGTGTGTAGGTGGGGGTGGAACTACTCTGCATTAACACCTTGCACATTTTTTATACCCAAGTAATTTTTTACTGTTATCTCTCTGTTTGCTCAACATGAATCGTATACAAATAGATGAATTACAAACTATCTGTATATTTATTGTAAGACAACAGTATTAGGCTAATTGCATGTTTATTAGATTTTCCAAATAGGTGTTAAATAATATTTCAATTACATCATGTTCACCATATGAAAATATGATTATTACAGTCATGTTTTGCCATTAAAATGAATACTAATTTTTAAAGATGTAAACAGAGATTTTTTATGATTCAAAATGTGACTAAAAATAACTTAATAAGTATATCAGCAGTACTATAATAATGAAAAATGTATGTACAAGTTGATTAAAAGATCAAATATCCATTGTAATGTAGAAAAGAACTAATAAAATATGGGATACTCACTCTGAGAGAGAAGGGCTGACAAAAGTCAACACGAACAGAACCAAAATTAGAATGCAGAACTCGCCACACTGCTCTGACAGCATGCTTGAAATTTTCCATCACCTTGGGCTTACCCTAAAAATTATTTTAGGGATATAATTTAAATTCTGGTTTTAATTTACTAGTCTTACACTTTAAACCAGTTTTTGGTAAATATATTTTAGGTAAACCACATACCACAACTTAGATTATATTTTCATCACTTGAAAATCCAAACAGCTACTGGTAAACAGAACTGGAGATTAACTCAATTAATTGATATAAACAATTACCTATGATTAATCTCATGAAAATGACCAACCAGTGTTCCTGATTATTTAACCTATCTAATAATCAAAATTAACATTAAATCACTCAATGTTGTGAAAAACATCAACTAATCATATTAATATTTCTGATTATCATCATTTTTGATCATTCTAACTATCCAGTAACCTAAATATTTCCATTATGACTTTTCAATAATATTTTTGATTAATTCAAAGTTGTTCATCTTAATTGGTTAGTGTCATAACTCGTGAAAACAATCAACTAATCAAAAATAGGGTTTTGATTATTCCCAATATTTAAGCAATTGAAATATTGTAATTATATTTGTTTGTTGTTAAACACAAAGCTACACAACGGGCTGTCTGAACTCAGCCAACCACAGATATCAAATTCCAGTTTTTAGTATTACAAGTTTTTTTTTCCACAAATTTCATGTGAAAATAATTAATTAGTTGAATATAATCAAATTAATGAGCCCAATGATTAACTGATTGGCCAGCTCTACTGGTAAATGTATCCCAGATATGTCATGTACCACAACACTGTTCAGCTCTACCGGTAAATGTATCTCAGATATGTCATGTACCACAACACGGCTCAGCTCTACTGGTACATGTATCTCAGATATGTCATGTACCACAACACTGTTCGGCTCTACTGGTAAATGTATCTCAGATATGTCATGTACCACAACACTGTTCGGCTCTACTGGTAAATGTATCTCAGATATGTCATGTACCACAACACGGCTCAGCTCTACTGGTAAATGTGTTTCAGATATGTCATGTACCTCAACACGGCTCAGCTCTACTGGTAAATGTGTTTCAGATATACCATGTATCATGATACATTGGGGCCCTGATATAATGTGGGTCTGTGTTGAATCCCAAATTTTCATTTAAATTTATCCTTTCAGGATGTACTTCAAAATCGTTTATCTGTTTATGAGGCTATTTTAATCAGTTTATATGTATTTTAGCATTATTCTGGCTATTGACTGGGCACTTTTGAAAGGACCTTGCTATAATGCAGTCTCATGATATGGACCATGTGGACCTCGTTACAGTGGGACCAGGATGTATTTTCATCACATGAAGAACTACACTTTATAGACATACACTTCAAACTTTTTCAGTGAAAAATTATTAAAAAAAAACAAACAATTATTCAAGGTGTTAAAAAACACTTCCCAATTATTTATGGAGTTAAAAAACAACTTACCAATTGTTCTAACACAAAGTTTCCATCCACTATCTTCTCATAGCTTATTGCAACAGGCACGACATAAGCATCTTCTACAATACCTGCCAGGAGAACAAATACTAAGTACATTAGTTACTTCGCATCATTTTGTTCCATAAAGAACTTACCAAAGTGTACAAACACTTTACTTATTCTCATATTAGCTATAAAAACAAGATTTCAAGGTATGGAAAATTAAGACAACAAAAGCAGGTGCTCAGATATACATCTTGAAAACTGACTTGTTTGGATAAAAACACAACATTCAAAAGACATTATAAATTAATCACTGCTAAATCTGTATGAGTAAGACATTTTTAAAAATATGGATATTCAAACAATATAAACCTGTACGTGCAGAAAACAATCAAAAGACACGGGGTTAATATCTGTTACAGAAAAAGTCATTTTATGTTGCAGCTGGTTTTTATTTCACACTCGCATAATCTGTCCATTATGAATTAAAAAAAAAAAGTCACTTTCTAGATGGCCTTTCATTCAATTACATAGGTAAAGATGGACTGAAAGGCCCAACGATTACAATAAAAACAGGGCAGGAAGTTTTTGTTATATTTCATTTATCCTTATGAACTTTGGGGATACCACCTCCCTCCTCTGCAGTCATTATTTACTGTATGTGACACTTCTGCTATTTTTCTCACATTGCAGCAAATGACAGTTAGATCACTTTTATTTAAAAGTCTTTGTACTAAATAAATACAAGTAGCATTTCATATAGACTTTGAATACATAGTCTTCCTGGACAGTGACGTGTGCTGACCTGAAGTTGGATACAATTCCACATACCTCATATTTGAACCCCACAGTGGACAAATAAAAGAAACGTGAAAAAGAGAAGAATCTGAAATATTTTCTTACAAATATTTGGCCTAATGATTTTTAGTGCTTTATCATCTTTCAGTATTCAACACCAAACGATATACTATAAGCCAATCTATACTAAATTCAACACCAAACGATATACTATAAGCCTATCTATGCTAAATCCATTGGACCTATTATAAGTTCAAATACATAAAATGTTTCTTACAACATATGAATATAAAATCTGTTGTGATAGTTTTATTTAGCATAGAGAAATCAAAACATTTCAAAGAGCAGGCAATCATTCAAAACCCCACTAAAAATGTATTATAAAACTACCTTCAACGACAGAATTCACAACTACAGACAACAGACCACCTTTGGGCAAACAGGCTTTTCCAGTTCTAGTCCTCCCTCCTTCAACAAAGAATTCTAGACTGTGACCTTCTCGCATACTTTCTGACATATACTAACGAAGAATATATAAAAAATAAAAATGTTACTGGTTTTTCACTGATCACAAGATATTAATAGAATGTTACTGGTTTTTACTGATTACAAGATATTAAGTAAAAACCAGTAACATTCTACCAATCACAAGATATTGGTAGAATATTACTGGTTTTTACTGATCAAAAGATATTAGTAGAATGTTACTGGTTTTCACTGATCACAAGATATTGATAGAATATTACTGGTTTTTACTGATCACAAGATATTAGTAGAATGATGTCAAAAGATGATTCAATAACAATGATCTAGTTAAACAATTTCAACTTTTATATACAATTTTCTGGAAATATTTATCAAATTTTGAGTGACTGGAAACCATAAATTAACATTCACATGCTAAAAGATTTTGCTATAACTTTTTAGTATTTTTTTTCATAAATATTCTACAACAATTAATTTTGTGACTTTTAAAAAATTAATATTTCTCACAAAAATTTTCTTTTGAAATACTTTAACATACCAAATTCAAAATTCTACAGAAAAAAATATCCCATCATAGAAACAAAAGGCACAGGACTCACCGACTGAAGAACAGCACGATAGACTTTGTCCTTCTTTCCCTTTTGAGGGTCTAGTTTCCTCTTAATAAAGAAGGCCCCAAGTCCTCTCATTAGCATCCTATGAAATGTTTTTTTTATTTCAGTTAACAGGAAAACTTTTTTTTTTTTTTTTTTTTTATGAGAAATTTCTTTTTAATCAGACAAAAATACAACACTTCTCTTCTGCCTGTAGAATGTTCTTTTAATCTAAATTTTGCACTAAAGCTTGAAAATGAAATAAGGATTTACTGTTTATAGTTATTAGTGACTGAAATCTATCGATACCAATTTTGTTAAGACTAATAATAATAAAAAAAGTAAATATTTCTGACTGTATGAAATTTAGCATTCAGTTTAATTATTCCATTAACTTTGAGTATTCTAAACACAACTAATTATGTACAACACACCAAATTAATTAGTAATATGACCAATAACACTATTACGTCACAGCATCATAGGTGAAACAGATGTTATATCCAGGACATTCGCTTACATAGAGGCAACCTGAACTATGCATATTTGAATTATTTTCCTAGCATAACAAAGTTAAAGTACACAAAAATTACACCCTTTCACTTAACTATCTTAAAGCCCTTCATCTTGTTGTGCATGCCTTCATATATAAATCTCTATAATTATCTCGAAGTAAAATCTCACCATCATTATTACACTCTGGAGTATTAAATCACAACAAATTTATGTTATATGAAAATACTTGTGACAAACTCACTCTGTAAGAACTTTCATTTGACAACCAATAATTATGGAAATTTACCCAAAAAATGTAATAAGAAGGTTGTCACCAGCAGCAACCAGAGGAGCTCTCAAGTCATTCATGTAGAGAATGAAGGTGACAAGTATGTAGTCCAGATGACTCCGATGTAGTGGAAGATATATCAGATTACAGAATAAAGTACCTGGTAAGAACATCATTTACAAAGAATGAAAGCAGCATGTATGAAGTCCAGATGACTCTGATGTAGTGGAAGATATATCAGAGGTACTTTATTCTGTAATGTAAGAACATCATTTACAAAGAATGAAGGTAATATGTATGTAGTTCAGATGACTCCAATGTAGTGGAAGATATATCAGAGGTACTTTATTCTGTAATGTTAGAACATCATTTACAGAGAATGAAAGCAACATGTATGTAGTCCAGACGACTCCAATGTAGTGGAAGATATATCATAGGCACTTTATTCTGTAATGTAAGAACATCATTTACAAAGAATGAAAGTAACATGTATGTAGTTCTGATGACTCCAATGTAGTGGAAGATATATCAGAGGTACTTTATTCTGTAATGTAAGAACATCATTTACAAAGAATGAAAGTAACATGTATGTAGTTCTGATGACTCCAATGTAGTGGAAGATATATCAGAGGTACTTTATTCTGTAATGTAGGAACATCATTTACAAAGAATGAAAGCAACATGTATGTAGTCCAGACGACTCCAATGTAGTGGAAGATATATCATAGGCACTTTATTCTGTAATGTAAGAACATCATTTACAAAGAATGAAAGTAACATGTATGTAGTTCTGATGACTCTGATTTATTGGAAGATAATAACTGCCATGAAAGTTGGAAATGACACTAAATTAAAAATAATCATTTTTTGTTGATAAAAAATGACTTTCTGGGTTATTAGGATGTGTAAAAATTCCCATGTCACTCTAGAACAATGCATTTAAAGTCAAAACCCATTTTGATCTCTCATACCATATGGGTTGAAAACATTATTTGCTAACGAGTCCATTGATACAAGAAGAATAGCACTTTATCTTCTCAATACAAAATATTTTCCAGACACAAAGATATTGACAAATTTTCTAATATTTCTCAATGTTTAGAAAAACATGTTAAACAGATACACAGTAATACAAAAGTTGGTACTTTCCATAAACTCCTTTCAAATTCATGTACATCTCTTATTCAGTGGGCCTGACAGATAAAGAAATGATTGATCGAAGTCACAAAATGAAACACTTGAAATTTTATGTTTTTATAATTAAAATGAATGTGAAACATGTAATTACCTATGAAATACTGAAGGTCCTTGTTTGTTAAGGTCGAATTCATGCTGTCAACAAAACATGTGACTAAAAATTTTCAAATGTCCTTTACACATTGCAGAACATAAATTTCTTACCCATGATTCTCCACTCTCCTTTGAGACTTATTGCATAAGCACTAGGAAATCTTATGTAAGCTCCATCTTCCCACAATCATTTATTGAAAGTTACAGAAAATTAGTTGTGGGGAAGTGGTTACGGAAGATATTTCAGAAGTAAGTACCTATTTGAAATTCATATTAATTCTACAGATAAAAAAAATCCCATCAGGTGACTTACCTCTGAAATATGAAAGTTGTATTACCCACATTATAAAGAAGGGGGAAGCCAATAAACATGAAAATAAATAACTACAATGTACAGTGCAAGAAGATAATATTCTAAAGTACAAGACATACGTCACAAAGCAGAGTTGAAGTAAAATCCAGAACCTGAAAATAATTTGCAGGAGTGTTCCTGTAGAGCCATCAAGGACACACAAGTGATAGCATAAATAGACAACAGGAATACTATGTCCTACTCTTGCAGCAAAAGGTTCTCAAGGAGCTTTCCAGACAAATATTATGAAGGGACACATTTGAGAGACAGTAGCTCCCTTTCATTCATATCGAAAATAGCCAGTGAGTCATACAACTGGTCAAGTTAATGGACACTGAAGATAAAACAAAGAAAGACCCAAGCATTCCCTAAGAATGGAGTCAACAATGTGAGGGCGGGGGCAATGGGAACATCAAAACGTATACAAATAAATCAATAAGATGATCCACATCCTGGTTGGAGTTGAGAAATCTAGTGATAACAGTTGTCTTGTTTGCATTATCTCTAATGCCACACAGACATGCACGTGGAGGTGAGAAGAGTATCCGCCGAGGCATCATCAGCCACCAGATGGCACCCTGTGTCCATTTACTAATGGCAACACCCTCACATGGAGCTCCAGCATAGAGAGTGGAATTTTGTCTTGGACAAATGCAAAGATATGTGTGACATGCGAGAGTCTTGCCCAATTGAATAAATTAATGTCTTACAGAAGGAAAGACCATAATAATGTTTATAATATATACACACACAACCTTTGAAATCCCTAAATTTGTGAAGAAATGTTGGGTGATATAGAAATGCATGGGTTGCCAAGGACAAATGCAGAGGTTAAAGAGAACATGTGAGAGTCCTTACTGCATGAATCAATATAAATACACATTACATAAGAAGAGAATACACTGAAGTATTTTATCTCTTTTGCTTTGCATTGTTTGTTTTGAAATCAAAATTATTCTCAACTGAAGACACCATAGAAATGGTTAAAAATGTGTTTGGAGCAGGATAACAAAATTCACAAGAGAGGAATACCACCTAGGCTGGAGAATAACAATAGGTAGCAAACTGAACCATGAAGCTAATGATGCAGTAAAGTAATGCTGGTAAAATAACAAAAAATTAAGCAGATTTGTCTCCATGTTGGCCTGTAAAATATTCCCAAAGGGTAAAGAGACTAAGAGGCCAAAGTAATAGCCAAATAGCAAATGGGACAAGAAACAAAACCTAGCAACTGCTTAAAACAATTTGTTAATGCAAATGGAAAAAAAGATTTGTGGAATGAAAATTGTCGTAAGGTACAAACGGCTGATGTTTTATTTCCTTGAAAAGAATCCATTCCTCAAAAATAGGAATAGGAACAAACAGCCGTGTTGGAGAAATACCAAAAAACCAAATTATACTGTCATCAACTTTAAAACGTGGACCAATGAGATTGGTATAATGTCATGGAAAAACATCTGTAAAAATATAAAATTCAAGTTATCAGGAAGAGAAGCTAACTTCACTAACAAAGGATTACATAGCAATCAACCATGAAGCTGCAAGTAAAGAACATCAGTGTGGAAGATTTACCAAAACAATTAATGGAATAGGATCCCTCTGAGATAGATGAGCACCCTATCGCTGGAAGAAGCATTGGTGAAATATACAGATCTAGAAGAGGTAGAAGAAAAAGGAAAAACTGCAACAGCAAACTCATGAATGAGCCACTAATAAGGGGCAAGATCCCACTGATGGTATCTTAAGTAAATATGATCCATGGGAAATGCCATGTAAAGAAGAAGCCATTGCTCCCAAATAAAAGAGGATGTTTTCTGAAAAAAACTAAAACCAGTCTCCAATATATTTTGCTTTTGGCAACAGATGAGAATGAAAAAAACCCAAGGAAACATGAAGTACAACACTGACCTCTCATTGTTTTTGAAAATGTTTGAAATTGATAGATTCAAAATCAATTGGAAACTGGAAGACAAATAGAAGATTAAAATAAATCAACTGGAAACTGGAAGACACACAGAAGATTAAAATGAAGAATCTGATGAATGAAGTAGAATCCATAGACAAACAAATTTATATGAAGGTCAGCTAATTACAAGACATGTACCTTGCAACACAGTTCAATGAGTAAAAGAGTCAAAGGAAAACAGGAGCCAAATGGGTAAAGGAAACAGCAATGAGACCAATAAATAATATTAAAAAAATGTCAAATAGATTAGTGACCTGATTAAAATAATGGTGAAGAAAAACTATACTCCAAAACAAGATGAGACACAGTATGCAGGAAAAAAAAAGGTTACGAGTCACAGTAAAAAATAATGTGGAAGACTCCACCCCCCCAAAAAAAAGAATAACCAGACTGAATGACAGAAATATTAGAAGAAAAAGTAGATGAGGAATATGAGGTACATGAAAAATAGTTTAGAAAAATATTCACAACCCCAATATCATGAGGTGAGAAAAATAAGATTCATTTATTGAAATCATCTCT